GTGAGCTGAATTCAAGGCTTTTAGATCTTGGAGAGAGGCATGTACTGTTTGTATTTCACATCACAGAGATCTTTACTTTTGTAAGCACTTAGATGACTACACATTTTTAAGCCATTCAGTCCCTCTGAGAGAGAAAGATGTAGCTGGCAAATATGAAATACTGGTTTTCAGTGTCATCCAGTTATCTAGCCAGGCACAAATTTCTGGACTTGTGTGCTGTTGCTTTTAATGAAATATCTACACATAGGAGCCGTTGTAGTTACCAGAAATGCTGGGCTCATGTCTGTCTTTCAATTTTCTGCATGGTTTTGGAGCTAAGGGGCCCAAATCATAGATTAGTACCTACCTGTGCTAAGCATAGGAACAACAACAGATCACAGAGACAATCTGTACCCTAAAAAGTTTATAGTTTGATTGTCTTCTGCTTAGTCACAGAGAAGCAGAGGTTGGAAAGGACCTCTGCAGATCATCTATTCTAAACCTCTGCTCAAAGCAGGTTGCTCAGGGCCATGTCCAGACAAGTTTTGGGTATGTCCAAGGTTGGAGACTCCACAAGTTCTCCGAGCAGCTTGTTCCACTGTTCAAACCTTATAGTGAAAAGTTTCCTTTTCTTTAGTAAGAATTTTCAGTATTTCAGTTTGTGCTGATTGCCTCTTGTCCTGTCACTGGGATCTGCTGAGAAGAATTTGGCTTCATGTTCTTTATTGCCTCCCCATCAGGAATTTATATACATCAGTAAGATCCCTCTGAGCCATGAATCTCTTAAAAAATGTCAAAAGAGCACATGAATTCATACTAAATGAGCTCTAAGTATGCAAAATGTAGAATATTTTTGAGGGAGCGGAACTGTCTTCCAAGGTCCTCACTTTTATTTTGTATCCTATAGGGTACATGGTGCTGTCAAGGCCTTTCACAACTTCTGTTTTGTTTTTCTTTTGTTAATGTAGTATGTGCTTCAATTTCAGCACAGTGTACTTTAAGTTTTCTTCCAGTTGGTACTGCCTTCTTCCTTGCTCTTTCACCATGGAGAAGTGAAACCATAAGGCCTGGTCTCGTTTCCTCATTCTGTGCCATCTAGTACTGGTTAATAAGTTTGTGTGGGAAGATGTTTTGGGTTTGTGTAGCAGGGGAGGGGCTGCAGGGGTGGCTCCTGTGAGAAGCTGCTAGAAGCTTCCCTGGCTCCAAGTCGGACCCACCGCTGGCGAAGGCCGAGCCCATCAGCGATGGTGGTAGCGCCTCTGGGAGAACAGATTTAAGAAGGGGAACCTGCAGTGAGTGAGGGGATTGGAATGTGAGAGGAACCCCTCTGCAGACACGGAGGTCAGTGCAGAAGGAGGGGAGGAGGTGTGCCAGAGGAGGGGATGCCCCTGCAGCCCGTGGAGGACCCCACGCCGGAGCAGGGGAAGAGTGAGGAGTCCTCCTCACCCGGAGGAGGAAGGAGTGGCAGAGACAAGGTGGGATGAGCAGACCCCAACCCCCATTCCCCGTCCCCCTGTGCCGCTGGTGGGGAGGAGGTGGAGAAAATTGGGAGTGGAGTTGAGCCGGGAAGGAGGGAGGGGTGGGGGGAAGGCGTTCTAAGGTTTGGTTTTACTTCTCAGTATCCTTGTTTTGATATGATTGGTAACAAATTAAATTGATTTGGTTTTTTTTTTTGCTCAAGTTGAGCCTGTTTTTTGCCCATGACCATAAGTGGTGAGTGATCCCTTCCAGTCCTTGTCTGCACCCACGAGCTTTTCCTTCTCTGTTTTCCTCTTTTTCCAGAGGAAATGGAAGAGAATGTATGTAGCAATGAACCAGAAACTTCAGTAGCATGTGACTTATCAGTTAGTTCACTTACTTTCATATCTACGTTATCACTTTCCTCTCGCAGATGTAGCTCTTAGTGACTATTAAAGCCACATGGATATTGAAGGAATAATGAGGTTCTAGTGAAGTGAAAAAGGAAGAGTTTGTAGCAAAGAAAAATGAACAATTTATTCCTCCATCAATAATGTACGTAGTTAATTGACGAAGAGCTTCTTATGCAATCTAACTTGTCTATGTTTACGTAAAATAATACCTTTTTTTAAGCTACTTTCAGTAGGCTCAAAATCTATTTTCCAGGCCCCCAGCTTCCTGGTAATGTGACATCAGTACAACAGCCCAAGCTGGTGATTATATTAAAAGAAGAATATAATGGGACAAAAGAATAAGACTATGGCTTGATCTTTTCCATTGGTAAATTTAGAACTTGTAAAATCTGAAGTAATAGTTGTAGTGATTAAAAAGAAATATAATTTTATACTTACCCGCTGTTCTAAAAAAACACTGTATAATTATTGTGGGAGGAAGAAAAATACATCTCTCCCCCTCACTCTGGTACTTTTTCCCTTCTCTTTAGTGTTGAAATCATCCGGTTTAATTAAATCACCAACTTATTCCTGCACAAAGGATGACATTTCATTAATGATGTAAGATGTGCATGAGACAGAATTAACCCAGTTTTCAAATGGATTTCAATTGGGAAAGGGCAACATGTAAAAATGTCTTGTAAATGTGTGGGATGAGCTTGTTGAGCAGCTTTCAGAAGGAGATGGGATTATAAAATGAATAATTAGACAACAGTCCCTCCCCCCACCTCAGTTTCTAACAGTCTTTTTGTAATCCCAGTTGATAAAAAATTTAGGTACCTGACATCATATATTAGGGATATATTAGAAATAGAATGAAAAAACAGACTTGTGATGATTGCTAGCAAAATACATATATATGCATATAATTTTCTCTGTAATTTTTAGCTAAATAGTAGCCTTCAGTGGCTTCATCAAAGTTACCTCCACCTTAATCTGTTCTCTTTTTGGAAAGAAAGCAACAAGAAGAAGAAAACCAGTCTCCCAAACATCGTTTTGAATCATCACTTTTGGTAGCACTTTTTCCAGACACTTATCGTTGTGCTTAGTTGAGGTATCACGTCAGGTCCCTCTTGCATGCAGATCATTGCTTCTCAACTTATGATTTTATCAGAGTTGTTACAATTAGGCTAGAGCCCAGTTCCCTCTGCTTGCCATTGTTTTCAAGCTAGGACTGTTGTCTTGCCATCGCTAACGTGAATTGAGCCAGCACAAAATGTTGTTCCCTACTCTGTAAAAGACTGAGATTTGAGAGGTGCTGGTCTATTTTCATGGTAAAGAGTCTTATCTAAAAGTGCATGAGAAGCTAAACTAGTGTATAGAAATACACTGTGTAGAAGTTCAGTATGCTCTTTGGGCTTTATAACATAGTCTAATATCATTACCTTTTCCATATTTTTAGTTTAGCTTTTTTTCTCAGTCAGGTTTCTTTCCTAGTGGTAAATCCAAGGGAACGTAGTTTACGTGACAGCATTTACAGGTAACTGGGAAGGGCTGAAGGAGGCTATTTTGATCTTAGGGTGTCAGGCACTATGGTTGTGGCATGGCTCACATTTCAAGAAACCTGTTTTATCATAAGGAAATATGCCTGTAGAGCCTGAGCTAGAGGGTTGGTTAGAGCCCATCCACACTCACTTCACTTACAAACATATTGAACCCAGCAGGCTGGGGTTTTCACAGCAGATAGGTGGTCATATAGTAAGTTGTTGTATAGATTTGAAGAATTTTAAATAGTTAACAAGATTTTCTTTCATCTGCGAGGAGAGATGATCATCTGCCTCATCGTTCCCACTTACATTTCTGAAGTTTATCTGTATGTATTAGACGTTCACACTGGTTTGCCAACTCTTCTTACTCTGAATTTAGAAATCCCTTTCTAATTTTGCCTTTATAATTCATAAGAAAACTGGATATTCTGAAGGTGTGGTTTTGTGGATTTTGTTTTTATTTTTAACTTTGCAGAGTTGGGGAAAGAAAACTTCACTTTCATTTCCATATTGCCAAAATTTAACTTTCATCAAAATGGTTCTCAAAAATCCTTAACCCCTTAGGACAGGGTGTTGTGGAAGAGACAGTGAAGAGGTTTGAAACAGATAATCCTGTTGATAATCTGGTAAAATAAATCTGCCCTCTAAAAGTGTGGAATTAATTTTTTGCAGCTCTTATGTATGTGGTAAGGGAGGTGCAGGCATTAATCCTTGTATTAGGGGACAGGTTTTTAGGGGTTGGGCTGTTAAGCTCAGAACAAGTAAGCAAATTAAAGCATTCCCATATTCTTCATTGACGCAAAAGTGATCGTATAGTAATTTTTGCGACACTCTATGTTAAAAATGGGGGTTTTATTGCTTCTGTTGAGAGCAAAGGCTTGAGCTACAAGATTGGTGGTGGTGTTTATAATGAAGTAAGGGCTAGAGGTTCCCACTATTCCAGCAGTCTTTGTTCATGTAACTGTGACTCCTGACCCAAAAGGGCACACACAGTATAACAAGAAGATTTGCCCGCATAAATATCCTGCCTGTCTGCTTAGAACATCAGTCCTTGACTACTTGCTTAGGAATGGGGGGAGGTAATCTTCTGCAGTAAGTGTGGAAATAGTGAAATGTATTTTGGAATTTAAGGTTGATATGAAAGAGGCCTTCTATGGCATTTACACAAAAAGTTTGTGTAAGATGAAGCACATGCTTTTTAGATGGAGTATGGAGAAATAAAAGAAGATTGGAGGAGTGCTGAACAAATCTAATTTAGCCTTACTGGAATAAGGTGTTGTCAGGAGAAATTCAGAACTACCATCCTGTCTATCCTTTGGCCTGGGGAAACATGGCTCTATAAGCAGGAACAGAGCTGGAAGTTGAGGTCACAGTTCAACCCCAGAGTTCAGGGGCATACTAGAAAATTTCATTCTGATCTTATTTCTAAATATACAAGATGATGTATTTCTTCTATAGATATTCCTTTGACTTCATTCCCCCCCCCCCTCTTGCTCTGAATCTCATTCACAGTTTTGGGGTCCCACTGGCTACCAGAATGCTGCATTGGCTTCTGCATGGAAGGATGGACTGTACTGTGCATGCACTGTTCTTAATGGACCTTTTCTCTCTTTCAGAAGAAGGAATGAAGAAAATGAGCAACATCTATGAATCAGCAGCCAATACCCTGGGAATTTTTAACAGCCCATGCCTGACTAAAGTGGAGCTGCGAGTTGCATGCAAAGGCATATCAGACAGGGATGCCCTCTCAAAACCAGATCCTTGTGTTATCCTCAAAATGCAGTCGCATGGCCAGTGGTTTGAGGTGAGTGTTTAAAAAAATGAAAATGATTCTCCTGATGCTTTAGGATGGCATAGACAAACTGAGACAAAATTCAGATAACGAGAACAATAGAGAAGCAGCAAGTTGAAGCCTGTGGCATAATCTTGTAAGAGTGAATGGAGATTTTCCATTAACTCTAACGCACTTTGAATCAGACTCTTAATAACACTTTGAACTCCTCTTTGGAGTATAGTTTAAAAATGAAGATGATTAAAGAATGAAGCATCATGAAACTTTTCCCTTTAAGCTCTCTTGTTTCATAAAAGCTATATAATAGCAGAGATAATGATAGTGACCATCATGCATTCCAATCTAAAGAAAAATGCTGTGGTAGAGAGGAGTATTTATTACTAGTTGGCAAGGAATTTGGTGACAGAGTAGCTTGATTTGCAAATTTTGAGCATTACAGTTGGATTCACAGTTGAAATTAGTAACTTAAACTAATGCGTTTACCTTATCAATTTGCCTTGTATTGCAGATTCCATGTTTGATTAAAATCCCACTTCATGTTATTTTACCTAATCTTAGAAACCATTTGATTGATAAATGGAAACAGGATGTCTTGGAGACATGCAAATTGTAAATAAAGAACTTTAGAATGGAATGTAATATTTTAAATGAACTCTTGGTTATTTTACTTAAAAGTTACACTTGAGTGTTTGTGGTTAATCAAGCTAAAAGGTGTGAGTTTTAATGGAAAGTATGTATGAGACGATTAGGAATATAATAGATACAGTTCATTTTGAGTGAGCATTCATCCCTGTCTTTTCAACAGTTTCAGCATTCAGAATAAGAATGTGTTATCTATCAAAAGATGCTGTGAGCATATGCAGAAAGCAAAATCCTGAATTCATGAGGCTTTTTTTAATTTAGCATTTTCAGCCAAGTTTGTCAGACTTGGGGGATTTTGTTCCAGTTATTCCAATTGTGTGGTTTTGACCTATGGACCTCTGAAACTTTTCCAGTGCAGGGTCAGCACCAGCACAGCAAAGTGAAGGTTTTTTGGTGGTATTCTTCCTCTTTTCTTAGTTCGCTGCTGTGGAACTATTAGGTAGGTCCCTGGTAGAAAACCAGTCTATAAGTAGAAGTAAAACTCTCACAATTGTCCTAGTGCTACAGCATAGGTGTCTTCATGTAATTGAAATTTAAGGGGATATAATAGCCCAAAAAAGGTATTTCTAGCTAGTCATGTAGAAAGGAGCATTTAGCTGCACTGTATGTAATCACTTAAGTTGTAGAAATTAATGAAACAATGGACTGAAGGTCAAAATAAGTGAAATCCCCTGTTTGGAAAGGACAGACTCAATCTTTTGGGCCATTTAAGTTCTCTGAAAAACCTGGAGTGCATTTCACACAGTTTGCCTGTGGCCAGTTATGACCAGGGTAAGTAGCTTTAAATTATATACTCTTATGTTGTAATGGAGATTCCTTTTATTTGATGTGGTTTTTAATTTGGAAAGTGAGTGTCTGAATAGAGTAATTCTTGCAGAATAGATCTCTGCTCACTGATATGATTCTCGTCTTATGTCAGTTGTTCCTACTGTCTAATGAAAGTCCAGGGTATTCATTTTAGTATGAACAAAAAGGTTTTATTAGTTTATGTTCCTATCAGTGCTGCAGAGCTAATACAGCTCTGACATGATGAGCCTTTTCCTATTCTGGCCAGCACATTCTCAACAGAATTTTTAATTAAGTTCCAATTGGTAAGCTAAATTGAGCAAAGTCATTCAGGTGTAGCTGAAGACATAATTTGGCTGGAAGAATCTTCTGCTGATGACAATCAATGATCCAGCAAGACCCGAGACAGCAGTCAGACTAATAATTTAAAAAAAAAAAAAAAAAAAAAAAATCTAGTTACTAGTGAAGTGAGTATATTCCACATAGAAACCACTAAATGGCAACCCAAAGAGGACTGGAACTGAAGAGTTTTGCATCTATGGATTTAGTGACCTCATGAACTGTCTTGAATTTCCAGATACCTTAAACTCTTTGGAGGCTGGATGTCTCCAAACAGACTGTAGCAAAATCCAGTATTACTGAAACATGCATACTGATCACATATTCTGGTTGTGTGGAAGATTTGTGAAGTTGGAGCAGCTGGGTTGAAGGTGTCTGAAATACAGGTTGTAGTCTGTATATGGTTGTGCTCTTGTGAATAGGCGCTTTTGAAATGCGTGGAAGGTACTGAGGACTGACTGCACAGCTCCTACTGGGCCAGATGAAGCTGAAGCTGGTGGGCTTAGGCTGATGGGATTGCATTGTGCATGCAATTAGAGGTGCTAGGATGTGAGGGATTCACTCTACAGATGCAGACAATCCCTGAAAGTGAGGAATCTGTGCATATTTGTCTGAAAATTTTGATAAAACATGTCAGCCTGTAGCTGAGGAGAAATTTTTTTTTCAGTTCTGCAGTACTGTGCGTGCATATGTGTGTGTTTGTGTAAATTATGCCACCTGCACATATAAATATAGAATGAAAATATTCACCCTATTGTAGAGTGGGTAGGTGCTGTTTCCAGAGATTGGAAATGGTATATATATGTTTGGGTTTTTTTGGTTTTGGGTTTTTTATTTTATGTTATGTTATTTTATTTTAAAATGTGGTGGTTTTTCGGGGGGGGGGGGGGGTTTTTTGGGTTTTTTTTCCTTTTTTTTTTTTTTTGTTGTTTTTGGTTTTGTTTTTTTTTTTCTTTCAGTCACAGAATGGATGATGTTGGAAGGCACCTCTAGAGGTCATCTGGTCCAACCCTCACTGCTCAAGCAGGGACACCTACAGCCAATTGCCCAGGACTGTGTCAGACAGTTTTTGAATATATCTAAGGAGGGAGACTCCCCAACCTCCTTGGCCAACATGGGCCAGCGCTCAGTCACCCTCACAGTAAAAAAGTGTTTCCCGATGTTCCTGTGTCTCAGCTGGTGCATGTTGCCACTGGTCCTGTCACTAGCTACCACTGAAAACAAGCCTAGTTCTGTTGTCTTTTTACTCTCCCTTCAGATATCTATATATATTGGTAAGATCCCCCCTGAGCACTCCAGGTGTAGCCTCACCCATCCTGAGTAGAGGGGAAGGATTAACTCCCTTGATCTGCTGGCAATACTTTGTCTAATGCAGTCAAGGATATCGTGTGCCTTTGCCACTAGGGCACGTTGCTGGCTTGTGTTCAACTCCGTGTCCACCAAGTCCCCTTGGTTCTTTTCTGCAAAGCTGCTTTCCAGCTGGTCGTGATCCTTGGCATGTACTGGTGCATGGGGTTATTCCTCTGCAAGGGCAGGGCTCTGCACTTCCCTTTGAGCTTCATGAGGTTCCCTGCTGGCTCATTCCTCCAGCCTGTCCAGGTCCTTCTGGATGGCAGCATGACCCTCTGGCATGTCAGCTGCTCCTCCTAGTTTGGTGTCAACTACAAACTTGCTGAGGGGACAGTCTGCCCCATCATCCAGATCATTAATTAAGATGTGAAACAGGACTGGGTCCAGTATTGATCCCTGTGGTACACTGGTAGTCATTGGCCTCCAACTAGACTTTGTGTCACTGATGACCAGCCTCTGGGCCTGGGTGTTGCCCAGTTTTCAGTCCACTTCACTCTCTGCTCATCCATCCCATACATCAACAGCTCCTCTATGAGGATCTTATGGGAGACAGTGTCAAAGGCCTTACTGAAGTCCAGATAGACAACATCCACTGCTCTCCCCTCATTTACCAGGCCCGCATGTGCACAAATATGCACGCATACCCCCCCCGCCCCTTTTCTCTGTGTATGTATGTTGATGCTGTCTGAAAAGCACTATCTCCACCAATCTAGAATTAAAATGATATATTGTGTCTCCCAGGAAAATCAGCAGGTTATTCTTTCTCTCACATGAAGTTTGTATTTTTAGCTGAGATGACAGGGTGTCATATAGCAGAATTTTAAGATTATGCTATCTATATGTACTAAAAGACAATTTGCTGATCTGGGGCTGAATTTTAGCTCTTCTGACCTTAGTTTTAGGCAGGTACACCTGCAGGGTGGCCAATGTTGTACTTCTTAAACTGTTTGTTTAAGGTAATAATTTGATGGTTGTTTTTCCATACTGATTTGAATGTGTTCAAGGAGTTTAATTACTGGACTAAGCTTCAGATGGTGACTGGCTGAGTGGGGTAGTAGAATCAGGCAAAGGTACATGATGATAAATTCCTTTGCTCCAATGATTATTTTACCCACCTGCAGTGTGCATGTCCTTGTGTCATAAATGTTAATTGCCTATAGCACTGCAGTCTTCAGCTGAGAAGTGCCAGCACTGAAATTCTCATTAACTTCTTAGTTCTAAGAAAGTAGCTTGGGCCTGTTCACAGGTTATCTGCATATGGCAAGTACACATGTTATTTTGAAAGTCGAGTAAGTTGCTGAGCTGTGTCTGGTCATATCAGATTTACAGGCAATCAGGAGGTGTAATATAGCCTGATGTAGCCAGATGGAACGTAATGTCTGTAACTACAAAAAGAGAAGACGAGCTTAGGAAGACAGTAGCCATGTTTGGAAATCAGAGAGGGCTTCTCGTAGCTGTACTCTTAGAGCTTTCTCCGGCAGGACATAGAGTATCTGCTATCTTGTGGATTTGAACAGCCAGCTGGAGTTTTTGCTTTTTCGCCTAAGTTTTTATTAAACTTGAAGTAACTGCAGAACAAATAAAGCAGCACTCAAAGACAACATGCAGTTACTAAAATTCATCTTCATGGAATTGCGTGAAATTTTTTGGATGGATAGGTGTGTTTCATTAAAATATTAACTGAAGTCACAAGTTTGGTGAAACACAGTGAGCCTTGGTAAAAAATGTGTAGGGCAAACCCACAACTTTTCATTTTGCCATTTTTAAAATAAAAGGCATTCACTTGTCATTTAGCATGACATTTGATTTCAATGATCAGCTTGGCATGATTAAAAAAACAGAACACTTTTCTTCTTTTGCTTTCAGCACTAACCCTGTACATCCACGCAGACCTT